GGCGCCGATCCCCTACCTCCAAAGGCCCATGGGTGACTCCAAAGATCGGTCTCTCGCCACCGTGCTCCACCGCATTGCTGCGCCAACGCTTTTCTTCATGGGGTTCTTTCAGAGAGACCGTCTCATCGTTCATGACCCACAGTGTTTCATCGATTCTCGCTCTTCCCAATCATGTGGCTGCAAGTCCCTTCGCCTGAACAAGTCCTCGTATGGTGCAGAATTCAATGCATTGCCGACGGGCACCATCCTCCTTACAGCATACAGGCACCATCCTCATGCGCTGCTACGGCTACCATCATCATCGTGCTACGGCTCCTCGCTCTTGTCACCACCCGTCGGTCGATTGGCACCGTCGCCTTGGTCACCCCGGCAAGGATGCTTTATTTGGTCACTTTGGGATCTCTCTTTCAAGCTCGATGTCGGACACCTCCTGTTCATCTACCGACGGTCAAGTATACTTGACCTACGATACCTCAAATCCGACACCTTCTTCTTTATGTTGATGACATCATACTCACTTGCATCCTCCCAGCTTCTCTCACCGTGTTATTGATGCTTTGAAGAAGGAATTCGCCATGAAAGATCTTGGTCCTCTTCATCACTTCCTTGGCATGTCGGTTCAACGACGAGGTCTGCTATTTTTTTTCCCAACGGCTTGGGATGATGCTCTCGGATATCTTGGCTCGTTATGGCATGACTGATTGCAAACCTTGCTCTACCCTCATGATGACCCCGCCTAGCGATAAGCTCTCCACGCCCGGCTTGATGGTGGTCCGCCGCTTTATCTCTTGATCTTACAAATTATCGCAGCCTGCGGGTGCTTTACAATACCTCACTTTCACCGGGCCCATGGTGCCTTCGACATTGCCTAGCACGCAGCGAGCACCACCGGATCGTTCATGAATCTGTCTTCACATGCATGATCCTAGGGATAGTCACTTCCCTGCTCATCGTCCCTTCAAACGCTTCGTGAATCCTTCGATACCTTTCGTGGGGGCACTCTGGATTATTTGGTCATTCCTCGATTATCCCTACTCAACTTCTTATTGTACACTTGGGACTCATTCCTGCATCGCCAAGACCGTGGTCACTAGGGCATCTTTGATGGTTCCCGCCGGACACTCATTTGGGCTTCCACCTGAAACCGTTGTCAAACTCACGCTTGCGGTTATCCTTTGGCCCACTCTCGGGATTTGGCCTATACCTTTGAGGCGCCTCTTCATGGGGTTCTTTCTGGTCTTCATATGCGAACAAAGACACCGCTTTCTGGTCGGTTTTTTGCTTATTTGGTCCAGGCTCGGACACCTCCTGTTCATCTCCGGTCGTCGCCTTTAACGGGTCGCCGAGGAATTAGCCATCCTTGGTCCTCTTCGGATGCGGCGCATCATCGCGGTGTCGCTCTGGAGGCCTCGTTATGGATGACTGATTGCAACCTGCTGCGACACCTGCGCCAAAGCCTCTGGCATCGGCCGCTTGATTCTGATCGCTGATGCCTCACTCTCGACATTGCGCGTCGGCATGCCGTCTACCTCTCCACCAACCCCGATACCAACATCTGGATTATGGCCTGGTCATTCCTCGAACCAAGCACGTGGAAATCGACCTCCACTTCGTCCGAGGAACGGGTCGCCATTAGGGCTGTCCGTGTGCTCACGTTCCCCCACCACGCCGCAATTAATGTCGCCGATGTCTTCACCAAGGGCTCCCTTCCTCTGTTTTCCTAGAGTTTCGCTCCAGTCTTAACGTTCGTCTAGCGACGTTTTCCTAGAGTTTCGCTCCAGTCTTAACGTTCGTCCTAGCGACGGATTGCTGACGCGGGGGTGTTAGAATATCTAGTTTCTATGTGAATGCTTCTACTCTACTTATGAATACGCCACCTCCTCTAGGCTGGCTTGGCTCTTTGGGCTCCTCTGTAATCTATCACTCTAGTCTAAACTGGCCCCTTCGGGTCTGGCCCCTTGGGCACCTCTGTATCCTAGGCTATATATGTAACCCTCTTGTAACACAGCTTTTAATACATAACATCTCAGCCTGTTAGGCTTCTATCAGAAACTATCCACCTAGGTTCTTCAGGTTATGATACACAAGAATGGGTGTTGAAAAACACTGTGAACTCTTTGGAGAAACAGGAGAAGTGCTAGAGTTTCAAGTGATTGACATTCATCAAGATTGTAATTTGGTTTCTTTTTTCATCAGTCGGACTATGAGCTGATAGCATACGACATGGACAGTAAGGAAGTGAGTGTTATTGCCACTTTCGAAGATGACAAATCCTGATCTGAATTTGCTCGTTACATTCCCTATTTCTCAGAATCACCAGCTCTCACAAATAAGTACTGAAAGTGTGTGCTCTAAGTATGAGCTAGCAACTTGGTTAAATTCCAGTAGACTCAGGTGAAATGTTCTTTGTGCTTGGGTGTATGCCTTCTTAATTAGTACTGCAAGCCTGTTGAGACATTGGATGTATGCCTTTGCCTTCTCATGCTTTTGATCTAATTAGTACTGCAAGCCTGTTGAGACATTTATGTAGTTTACCTTTAGGGATGCTAGTTATATTAATGATTTTTGTTGCACAAGTTGAACAATTTCGACTTTTGGTGATAAGTTTTATATATGATTAGCATGTTTTTTTCGTGGTTGTATTAATGATCAATTATTTATTGTGAATTTAGTTTGTTTGGTTGTGTGTTTATTTATGTCAATCAAATCAAAATTATATTCCATATTTTGCTAATGTTGAATGTATGGAATGGTTTCAAATTGAAGGCTTGCGGTTACATCAAAAGTTTAGAACCAAAAAGTCCTGTTTATGCTACAGTAAAAACAGATGTGCTGGAGAGGTAATCTCTTTGGATGAAACTTATACAGTTTCAAATGTAGTAGACATGCCACATCTTATCTTCCTAATAGAACATCAGTTGTAGTGTTGCTAGAGGCATTCGCAAGGAACTTTGATCCTACCGGATCTGCCTGGAAGAAAGGTCAGTTCTCTCCAAGAGAAGTACAATGTTGGACCTACCTGATGCTGTATTTGCCTATTTTTACATGTCATGAAACCCTGAGAAAAACTGTATTAACAGTTAGCTATAGTCAATTGTTTTCTTTGCATCAGTCAATAGTCGAGCTTGTTCTTTCATGACAACTTATGGCATGTTCTTTCTACAAGTGGGATTCGGGTTTAAATCTGTATTGAAACAATTCTTTAAAATATCCTGTGTTGGGAGCTGTCAGCTCCTCACTGAAGCCTTTAAATAGACTCCAATTGGTTGCTTGTTCTTCCTTGGAAAATAATTGATTATATTCGTTGAGTTCAGCAAGGTCATTACCGGGAACTTGCTGGAGCATGTCAAGAGCTTTTTTCTCTGAAACCTTCAAAACTGTCTCCAATTCAGATTGAAAATAACCAAGAAAGTATTGTGTAACAGTGTAATGATAATAGAGGAGTCGAGGATCGAAGGCTCCAAGTGCCAGGACCTAAGGTGATGCCGTAGATTGGCTCCCTGATCACAGTTTGAAAATGTATACCATTACTCCTTCCCGTGCTGCTGAAAATGTAAGTAACCTTGCCTGTGAATGTTCGCGAATGGAAATGCAAAAGTCACTGTAACTGCCTTCCATTCCTCTAACACTTGTTCAAATGTAATTATTTGAATTTTTTTTGTCACAGTTGGGAAGCAAAATAGAATTTAGCATAGAAATTGGGAGGATAGTCTGATCTAGATGCCATCATATCTTTCCCATCTTTCAAGGATGATCCACGATGAATTCTCAGCTCCCATGTATCTATATATCGCTCTAGGGGTTGGCAATCTCGCCATTCTACTTAAGCTAGGTTTTAGCTATTATAAACAACTAGTCTGGTGCGCGCGCCCCTGCGCACGTGGGAATTAGACGGGCAATGGTGCCATGAAAAATGGCTGTTAAATGTTTGGATTGCAGGAAGATTAATAGCAGGTTGGCACATATATTTCATATAGTGGAAAATATCCGAGACAGTAAGGAGGATTACATGGGGTTTGCAATGCTTGTAGGTTCTGGCATATAGTAGCAATAAAGTATACAGATTGTAGAAGGTACTAAATTTCAGGTGGCCTTCATAGTGGCTGCTGGCAAAAGACCTCTGATTATTATAAAGTTGATTTTTGCACTTCATTAAACTTGGTCAGTTCTTGTTTCAATTTCCGTGGAAGTATACTGCTTCTGTGAAATAGAGAAGACGTTAGTGATTTGGTAGTGGGAAAGCATGTAGAGGGCTAAAAAAAACTTGTTTTTTTGGTACCTTGGTCTCCGCGAATGTGTTCCATGCTTTGGTCATTCTGATGCAGTATGTTTCCAGCAGTCGAAGCAGGTTCTTCATCGAAGTACGCAAATAAACCGTGTTGTTAATGTTTCATCTTCTTTGCTATTACTAAGTTGGAAATACGTGTCTGAAATGCTCCTGCGTACTTCTTCCACTCTTCCACTTGGATTGGACCATATTGCACATGCTTCTAACAGGTTGATCTGTCCATTGCATCTGTTTATGTCACAAATCATTCGTGATAGGGTAGGGTGATTAAGATCAAGTATCTTGTATCCAAGGACATTTGTGACATGCTTTAGTGAGATGTAGATAGCTTGAGCCTCTGTTGCCTGTGCACTCATTTTTTTCATTTCCAATGTACCTGAGCATGTAACCTTATGCAAAGGCTGGAATAAAAATTCTTTTTTTTTTCTAAAAATGTTACCTGACATGGAAATATGTGTTTCGAATTTTCCATCTGATGTTGGCTCGGTGTTGATGACAGGTTTCTGAGCATGAATTTTGTCTATGACAATATCAAAGGTAATTCTCAGACATATGGCAGATATTGCTGTAGTCGTCGGCTGCAAGAAAGATATAGAGAATAATCACCGGATCTCGTTAAAATTTGGAGATAGGTATCATAGAAAATCAATTTTGATCTCTGAATCCTTGATGGAATGTAAATGAAAAGGATTAATTGGGACCTATGGTGTAGGTTTTCAGCCTAATGGCCAAGCTCCAATATATAAGCTACTAAAACCTCAAGTGAGATCTAATGGCATAGATATTGCAAATTTCTCAACTCCAAGGCGATTAGACACTCATGACATCCCTTTAGTTGTCAACGATTTCAAAAATGCGGCTAGAAATGCAGTTGAAGCTGGTAAGTCCCTGCTCACCACGTTAAGCATTCTAAGTGTGAAGGAACATGAGTTAAATAAGTTTTTTTTTCTTTTTGTATGAATCACGTGGATTTATAACTTGCTTTTATACTAATCAGTTATCGCTTATTGTTTTGAAAGAAAAATTAGTTATCAAATAATCAGGATCTGAAGAAAACTAGCATGAATTAGTCCCTAGAAATGTTTAATGTTGTACAAACACCTAAGTGAGCTACTATTATATAGTATAGGAAAACAATGCAAGTCCTTGGTTACCGAGGAAAAATATCGCTCTAACCTTAATGTTTTATATGGTGTAGGATTTGATGGTGTTGAAATCCATGGAGCTCATGGTTATTTAATCGATCAGTTTCTCAAGGACGAAGCCAATGATCGCACTGACAAGTACGGTGGGAGCCTTGAGAACCATTGCCGATTTGCGCTAGAAGTAGTCCAAGCTGTAGCTGACGAAATTGGAGCTGATAAGGTTGGAATAAGGATCTCACCCTTTGCAAACTACAAAGAGGCATCAGCGCCCTGTTCGCTTGGGCTTGTTTGCCTTATAAGCCGTACTTTTTCAGCCAACTAACAGTATTTTTCTCTCTCACAAAATCAGCCAACAGTACTTTCAGCCATGGCTTATCAGCCAAACAAACCCAAATGAACAGATTCAAACCCAGAAGCTCTAGGGCTGTACATGGCGAACGCACTGAACAAAGTTTGGAAATCTCTATCTTCACGTGGTTGAGCCGGATGATCACAGTTGGTGAGAAAACAGAAACTCCGCATAGCCTTCGCCCCATGAGGGATGCTTTTGAGGGAACATTCATCGCAGATGGCGATTATGATAGGGAGGATGGGAATGAAGCAATTTCCACTAGTTATGCTGATTTAATTGCATATGGGCGTTGGTTTTTGTCTAACCCTGACCTCCCTCAAAGATTTGGATTAGATGCTCCTCTCAACAAGTACAACAGAAGTACTTTCTACACCCCTGATCCAGTAATCGGATACACTGATTACCCATTTCTCTAGTCATATGAGGAGGGATTTCTTTGTTTTTTAAAGAAAATATGGGGAGGGAATTTTCTCTCTTCAGAGTTCAGAGTATCTAGCTGCTGTATTAGTAACTTCAATGAATAAGTTTATTGGCTTGAATGTGTTTATGAGAATTGTTATGGACCTTACTTTTCATGCAGACGGATTGCTGCTTACTAATATTTTATTTAGTAGCATGGTAATTACAATTTAAACTTTTAGGGACTTTGAACGTTTGCGAACAATTTAAACTTAAAAAGGTAAATAAGAAGTCGAGCAGAAGAGATTATTAGCAAATACATGCTCGCTAAAAAAGACATTATTATAGTTTTTAGATATTATGTTGGGATTAAAGTCAATGATCAGATTGCCTCATATTTTCAAAAAAAAAAATGGTTAAGGCAAGGTGATCCTTTGTCCCCAATTTTATTTAACATAGTTGTGGACATGCTAGCTATCATAATTGCAAGAGCCAAAGTGAATGGGCAAGTAAAGGGGGTAGTGCCGCACCTAGTAGAAGATGGCTTGTCTATCCTGCATTATGCGGATGACACGGTGATTTTTCTAGACCATGATATTCAACAAGCAATGAACATGAAGTTATTGCTATGTACTTTTGAGCAATTATCAGGTCTAAAGATAAATTTTCATAAAAGCGAGATCTTCTGCTTTGGCCAGGCCAAGAATTGTGAGACGCGGTACTCACATCTTTTTGGATGCAAGATTGGAACTTACCCCTTACGCTACCTAGGTCTACCAATGCATTATAGAAAACTTAATAACAAAGATTGGAAAGTCATTGAAGAAAGGATTGAAAAGAGGTCGGCAAGTTGGAAAGGAAAAATGCTCTTTTTAGGCGGACGTCTAGTATTGATTAATTCAGTGTTGTCAAGTCTACCGATGTTTGCTCTCTTTTTTTAAATCCCTAGAGGGGTGCTCGAGAAAATTGAGTACTATAGATCACAGTTCTTTTGGCAATAGGATCAACAAAAAAGGAAGTATAGACTTGCAAAATGGTCCATCTTTGCCAACCAAAAGAGTAGGGAGGTTTAGGCATTCAAATCGACATACAAAATAAATGTCTATTAAGTAAGTGGTTGTTTAAGTTATATAATGAATATGGTTTGTGGCAACAATTACTTAGAAATAAGTATGTTAAAGACACAACCCTATCACAACTCACAAAAAATGCTGGAGATTCCCATTTTTGGATGAGCTTGATGGAGTGAAGGACCAATTCTTAAAATTAGGTGTGTTTCGACTTGGTGAGAAGGAACCCAAATCAGATTTTGGGAGGATACTTGGCTCGGAAGATTTCCGCTCATGGAAAAAAATAACGGGCTATAGCGGCGCTATAGCAGACAGAGAGACTCAACACTAAGCTATTTCTATTTGTGTCGCTATATCAACTTTAACTGCTATTGCGTGCCATAGCGCCGCTAAGTTGCATAGCTTTAGCGTTCAAATAGCGGCGCTATTTCAGATTTTGCCAACACTAATAGATTTTGACAATTTAATTAGTTATTTCCTACTTATCATTTGCTACTAATTTGGTATTTTGGACAATTAAATACTGGACTTTCATGAACCACGTTGTGATGTCATATTGGTAATGTTAACTAGACTTGTGGAACCTTAGAAACATGTTTGTGTTCATCGGTTTTCATATTTGCCATGTTTTTTTTGCATCAATTACTGGTGTTTTTCATGTTTTTTTATAAAACGCTATTTGTCGTAGTGCCGCTATAGCCTCGTAGCTGCTGAAAAAAAGTTGTCGCTATTGTCAATAGCCCACTATTTAAAACCATGGTTCCGCTTAAGGTCCAATATCCTACCTTGTATAATATTGTTCGGCACAAACAAGCTACTGTTGCATCAATTATTAGCACTCCACCGCTTAATGTTTCCTTTAGAAGAGCAATCGTAGGTAACAAACTGTTAGAGTGGCAGCACGTAGTAGCAAGAATTGCGAACATTGAATTACAAGGACGAGGAGATATCTTTTTTACTCGCTTAAAAATAATGGTTCCTTCATAGTAAACTCCATGTATAGGTATCTTATCAACACAGGAATTAAGGTTTCCCAGAAAGTTTGGCGGTTAAAGATACTACTTAATTTTTTTGTGGTTTCTAAAAAGAGGTGTTATTCTAACTAAAGATAACTTAGTTAGACCAAATTGGAACTGGACCAAAATGTGTGCTTTTTGCTCTAAACAATTGAACACCTCTTCTTTGATTGTTTATATGCTAAATTTCTCAGGAGAGTGGTTCATTTTGTACTAGGTTTGAAACCTCCAAAAGATGCCCATGATCTTTTTTACGGTGGTACAAACAAGGGATAGTTTCAAATCAATCCTTGTTGTTGATAGGGTGTGCAGCCATTTGTTGGACAATATGGCTTACAAGGAATAAATTTGTTTTTGACAAGTGTCGACCTATAACTTTTTTGCAGGTTATATTCAGAGGAACGTACTGGCTATGCCAATGGGCACAATTACAGCGGGTTGAAGCCAATAAAGAATGCATTCACCAAGTCTGTCAAGTGCTAGAGGCGGCGACAATGATTTTTTTTTTTTTTTTGCTTCCTTTGGATGGCCTCATAATGTTAGAATTGAGTTTTGAGTGGGACTTTTGTGTGGTTAAACTTTTGTGTAATAAGTGGTCTAATTCTCTTGTTAACAAGAGATGAAGTCAGATATATTTCAATTATCTAAAAAAAACAAGTCTTACAAGTTTACTGATACAAACTCCAAAGCAAAAACAATTCTAAACACACCAATATGGCCTAAACAAGGAGGCAGATCCTCACCAAAAGCATAGACATCCCGTCCCACTACAACAAAACCAAATTTTACATATGACTAAAATGGTATTCTAGAGATGTTTACTTGGCCTGACTTCGACCAAAAGCATGTGGAAATAGGTGATTTCCATAGGGACAATAGCCTTTACAAGCTGGCCACCCCTAAAAAGTGTAATTGCGGATGCGGTCAAGTAAGCCGACCATTTTTGAAAATGTATTTTTTAGAGGACATCACTAATGCTGACTATATGTAGAAATTGGTAAAACTAAAAATAGTAAAGAAATCATTTTTCTACTTAAATCACAGGTCACACATTTTTTCGCGTATGTGAAACTTCCTGGATTTGAACCATGACCTCCCCTGGCATGACTCTTCCTTTTACCATCCCATCTTGTTAATAGCAATCTTTCCTTTTTGAACCTTGTTGTAAATGATTTTCAAATGTGGCTGACTAAGAAACCGCCTCTAGAAATGTGTTTTAGAGGCAGTTCCTTGTGTGAGCCACTTCTGAAAATCATTGAAAGTTTTATCTTTATGAATATCAAATTAAGTTAACTTTTACAAAAACTTGAGAAGGTTTCATATCCAACCTCATATCCAGAAAAATTCACATAATAATTGCTGACATTTTATATGTGTTTCTAATGTACACCTTTGTGTGAAACAAATGGTGTATATTCGAAACATGTATAACAAAAATATTTGTCAATTTTTTTATAAATTTTATTACAATGGATATGCACATAATATATATGCCTCCATAAAATTTCATTGCACAACTCAACTTAACTAAAAAGATTTAAAAAAGATGAATATTTTTAGAAACACCTCACGTAAAAAATTACTATTATGGAGGTGGTTTCTTACAGAGGTTACAATGGCGGTTCGTAGAGCAACTCCAGGAGTTTCCTAAATGAACTCCCTATTTAGGTTTTTAGGTAAAAGGAGAAAAAAAAAATCTTCCGACAGTTCGGTAAAATTACTCCTTAAAAGTAAAAACTTGGTAAATCATCCCTCCAACTCGTAAGTTTCCGCAATCGATAGGAACTCCATATCCGCTCTCAGTTCGGTGTTTTTCTCGGAGTAAATTGGACACACAAGTAAACTAAGAAATAAGGGGTTTAAAGTGAGAAAATAGTAAGAGACAAAGAAATTATTAAAAAGGCTTCGTTGGTTAGAAATAGTTCGGAGTTTCAAATGCAAAATCGTTAACTCGCTAATTAAGCTTATTCATTAGCAAGTTAATTATAGGAAACACCTGAAGTCGCTCTTACGTAAAGTGTCTCTAGATTACTGCAGAGAGTCGTCGTTTTGCAGATGGCAAATATATACAGTATACACAGCAAAAGAGAGCATTTTCCAACTAACTGACACACAGGGTGATTTCTTAGGACTATAACAACTAACGAAGCTGCGCAAGTAATCCAAAGAATTTTGTAATGTGGTAGTGACTAACGAAGATGGCGAAAGTGCTCTCGCGACTCGCGAGTCAAGGAAAAACATAAAGAAAACGAGGTGGAAGTATTTGCTGATTTTCATCAGAATCAGAAGAAAAAAAAAAGGCGAGATCGTCTCAATTTCGTTCGGCCGGCCGGCCGGCGTGGCCGGTCGCATCTCCATGACAGCATCAATGACCTCACTCGCGGCCCCAAGCTCTCGCCTGATGTTGTTGACCAGGCCTCCTTCTCAAGTGATCATCGGGAGGAGCAAACGCCGGGAAACAACAAGCCAAGCAGTTCACCAAATTGGTCCTCTCCTCTCTCGCTATTTTCGCCCATCAGTAATCACCCGCAAACGCCCCAACTCGCCAGCATAAAGAGACGGGAAGAGGTGACAAGGCGGAGGGGGAGTGAGACAGAGAGTGGGAGGAACGAAGATGACGAGCAATGACGATGCCAACAATGTCCCCCTCCTCACCCCTTACAAGATGAGCAAGTTTCATCTTTCCCACAGGTAACCACTAACCAACCTGCCGGAGGCTTACCAAATCTCCTAATCGCTCAATCAGCAAGTGGCGTTTTGATTATCGCCCCCAAGAAGTTATTCGTAGGTGCAAGTTGCGCAACTGGCATGCCATTTAATTTGGGCATCAAAGTGCCCAAATAAGGTGGACCTGTTCTTTTCCAAACAAGAAATTAAAGATGACAAACATGGCCATGGCCATGGCCTGCAGAAGCTCTCGTTTATGATCTTTTTTGCTTTGGGGTGGAGGTGCCGCTTTATCTGTTTTTATTTATTTATGCAGATGCCGTCTGCTGTTCGTAGGAAGACTAGGTTCCCCAATTCTCTCTCCTTCCTTCTTTCTTTTTTGCCCTTCGGCTTTAAGATGAGGTTGCAGTCCTTTCCTAGATTCTCATGCAAAATTCCAGATTGGCGCAAGTTGATAGTACTAAACAAACCATTAGTGAGTTTTCAAAAACAAACCATTAGTGAAAGAAGTCTACAGATTCTTTTTTTTTTCCTTTTAAGATGGAAGTATGGAACCTCCGGTGAATTTTCTAAGTGAGCATCACACAGTGTATATGCCAGCAATTTGAAGATCCAGAACTTAACTTTTTTTTTTGTAGGGTGGTTCTTGCACCACTAACGAGGCAGCGTTCATACGGTAATGTTCCTCAGCCTCATGCCATACTGTATTATCAACAGAGAACAACTAAAGGAGGCCTTCTGATTTCTGAGGCCACTGGAGTGTCTGACACCGCTCAAGGGTGTGTCTTCTAGATCCTCAGACTCTGCCTTATTCTTGACATATGCAGTCATTATCATTTCTTTTTCATAGTTCAGTGATTTATAAAGAAGGGATGCTTACTTTCTTTATGCCAACAAGGTACAAGGATACTCCCGGCATCTGGACAAAGGAGCAAGTGGAAGCGTGGAAGCCAATAGTAGATGGGGTTCATGCCAAAGGAGGAACATTTTTCTGTCAGATTTGGCACGTAGGGAGAATCTCCAATTCCAGTACGTTTACAATTACACCCTCTAATTTAAACTTTGCTCTCAAAGCTCAATTTCATGGTAGCTAGTGTAGCTAACTTGCAACAAAATAGGTTCAGAGTTAGAGACAGAGTTATTCATGAAGACTTGGTACTTTTCTTTTGGTGAACGAAGATATATATACTTACACACTCATGCTGCATTCTGTACTGCCGTTTTATAAGTAAGGGCATTGTTACCAATAAATGTTAAATACTTAAATGCTCTAATGCAGCTTTTCAGCCTAATGGGCAGGCTCCAATTTCAAGCACTGACAAGCCAGTAAAATCACAACATGTGGCTAAGTTCACTCCTCCTAGAAGATTAGAGACCGATGAAATCCCTTTTATCATCAACGATTTCAGGGTAGCCGCTAGAAATGCAATTGAAGCTGGTAAGCTCCTTCCCCTCACATTTTACACTCTAAAGCGAATAAGATTAGTCTACAAAGAAAGAACAAATGTTTCTTGACTTTAGCGAATTAAGATCTGTAGAAAACTATATTGCATACTAATGTTCTTGTGGATTATTGTGTTTAATGTTTGACGACTACATGTTAGTTTATTGCAATCCTAGTTCTGACTCCATAATAAAAGGGCAATCAATCTGAACTCTCCCTGTGTTTGTGTAGGATTTGATGGTGTTGAAATTCATGGAGCTCACGGTTACTTGATTGATCAATTTCTGAAGGACCATGTCAATGATCGCACAGACATATATGGTGGCAGCTTAGAGAACCGTTGCCGGTTTGCAGTAGAAATAGTTCAAGCGGTAGTTGATGAGATTGGAGCTGATAAGGTTGGGATAAGGCTTTCACCTTTTGCAAATTATTCGGGAGCAGTAGACTCAAACCCAGAAGCTCTAGGCCTGTATATGGCAAATGCACTGAACAATTTTGGAGTTCTCTATTGCCATGTAGTGGTGCCACGGATGGTGAAAAATGGTGAAAATTCTGAAACTCCCAGCAATATTGGGTTAATGAGGAGTGCATTTAAGGGAACAATTATTGTTGCTGGTGGCTACAGTAGGGAGGATGGAAATCATGCAATCTCCAGTGGCTATGCTGATTTGGTTGCATACGGGCGCTTATTTCTGTCCAATCCTGACTTGCCTCGGAGGTTTGAAATTGATGCTACTCTCAACAAGTACAACAGCGAGACTTTTTACACTCCTGATCCAGTTATCGGATATACTGACTACCCATTTCTTCCATCAGATGTCTAAATGTGCCTTTTTCTGAAAAGTTTATTTTAGATCCGGCAGCTACCATTTGTGCTGAATATAAGATGGGTCATTGATCTCAGTGCGTGGATTTCATGTTCATGGATTTATACCGCCCTCTCCTTAATACTTACAACATTATTTTTCCTGCATGAATGAATACTAGTATACTGCCAAGAGGTCTAATACCGAAGTAAAATTTAATGATATACCCCCTCTGTCCCAAAATAACTTAACTTCTAGAGTTGTTCTAAGTCAAGTTATTTTAAATCTGATCAAATTTATATAAAAATGAGTACTAATTTTTATGATATTAAATTAGTATTATTAGATACACCATGAAATATATTCATATTCTACTTATTTGGTATCATAAGTATTGTTATTTTTCACTATAATTAATGTTGGTAAGACTCAAGATAGTTTGATTTATAATGATTCTAGGAATTGATTTATTTTTGGATAGAGGGAGTAGATCATATTATCTCTATTAGATGTAGTGCTCGTCTATCTGTCAAGTAGAGCACCAGACTAAGAGCGGTGTAAGTCTAGTTATTTTAAGTATTGCATTAACTTTATACATCTTCTTGTTGCTCTACACAGCGAACAAAAATTATAGAAGAAGGGTTTTTTCTTCTCGAGAACAAAAATTATAGAAGAAGTTTTTCTTTCCCTCGAGAACGTACCTGGCAACCTATTTTAGTATAAGAGAAGAAAGCAGTATGCACACCGGGAACATATATTTTAGTAAGAGAACAAAGCACGACATCATGTACGTCTAAGCTAGCAAAAACGACACCGGGTTTGAAATGGTGGAACTATTCTTTATTATCTGAATATCGATGATTATAGAAGTAGTGAAACTATTCTTTATTATCTGAATATCAATAATTACAACATAGAGTTTATACGTATACATAGTCCTGTTAAACACTAAGAGTTTGGTAAGAGTCCACGTATAAACGGACTATGATCAGGAACAACAAGCATGATTTGTTACAGCACGACAAGCAAGCTGCGTAATAACCTCGTCTGAGGTGTCACTAATGGATATTAGAGAAACCCTTTATATATGGATTTAGGGTAAGTAAAGCACGTTAGAAAAGTATAACTGCACATCATACTAGTTTATTGATTTTTTTAGTAAAGTTTGAATTGAGCCTAAATATAAGTTTTTAGCGACTCAATCCACCCGTGTCTCTTTTGGATCGGATTCTGTTCTCCTATGAGTAGTCGCACGACGGGAGATGACACCCAACCTTGCAATCAAGTCGAGAAAAAATCAGTTAAAATAATTAATGATGTGCCAATTTCAGAAAAACACAAAATGATTGATTTTAGGTAGCTACTGTGATATGGCTATATTTTGGGCGTCTAATCTTTTTGTAGAGAGCCAGTTTTAGATCCAAATTTTACATGTGCTCTTCAAGCTACTTTTACCACTCCACAAGTTTTGGTAGTTCCTCTTGTTGTGCAGCGGTGGTATAATATACTAGTAGAATTGTAGAAAGTAGAAATACACGTAAAATGGCAACAGAAGGGACACAATCAATTTGGTGAAATTAGATACAAAATGATCCATGCCCTGTTTGTTTGGCTGATAAACCATGGCTGAAAGTACTGTTGACTAATTTGTTGTGAGAGAAAAATATTATTTATTGGCTAAAAAAGTACGACTTATAAGCCAAGCGAACATGGCACCGCAAAGAGAGTCCGGAAACACTCCGAGCGCAAATTGGATTGCACCACGAAATGAACCAGATGGGTATTTTATTTGCCAAATTTTGAAGTTGAGACGATCTCACAAAATACAAGGAATTGCTTACATGATATTTGACGTCATGCTGACATCATCACGTGGAGGAACTGGGTGGCTTTGCCCACCCGGGCCGACAACGAGTGCTGTGGCTGCTGACCCGTGCCCTGCACATGTGCAGCGCTCGCTTGCAGTTCCATCACCCCGACCCGGCCTGTGGGCTGTGGTGCACTGCGGCCTGGTTCACCAGCTGAAGCAGGCCACGCACAGGGCACGCGTGTGCGCCAGCGCTTGAGTGACGCTACCACAGGACTCGTGCGTACTCCTATGCGGGCGGGAGACCGACGGACTCGACGAGAGCAGATAAATGGTGCAGACCGGGCCTCAGCCCAAGTTCTGGCTCCGGCCCTTGCCATCGATCGCCTGTCCTCACACCTGAGCGCGACTGCTCCATCTTGCCTGCCACCACCATTGGTCTCTTTCCATGGGCGACCTTTCCAGCAAGAGTCCGGGAACGCGCCAGATTCATTGAATCCATCTCCACCTGTTCAATCATCTTTTTTTACAACAACACCGGCAGCCATTGGTTTCGCTCCAAGGCATCGTCTTCTCTGTGCTCACCACTCGCCATTCCTAACACCGCCCCCTCCCCTCACTCCACCCTCCGCACCCACAACAATTTGCCAGCATAAAGAGAGGTGCCAAGGCAAAGCTAGAAGAAGACAAGCACAAAGGGAGAGGAGCAGAGGACGATGGCCAGCGGCGCCGCTAACACTGTCCCCCTCGTCACCCCCTACAAGATGGGAAAATTTGATCTTTCCCACAGGTCACCCCCTTGCTTTGTGGTTGGGCCAATTCCCAATTTCCTAATCCCCTATCAGCAAACAAAGGGTTTCTGGTTAGTTTCCCCAAGAAGCGGTTCGTTTGGAATCCGCCTCTCGTGCGAGTTGCGCAACAGGGGGCTCCATGTGTGCGTCGTCAAAGCGGCCAAAGTAGCGCTGCTTTTCCCTAACTAGGAAGATGGCCGGCATAAGATCGTATCGTATGCGATCCATGTTGTGATTTTTAGCGATTTTATTATTTGGAATTTTGGATGCAGTGTGCTGTTCATAGAAGACTAGGTTGTAGGTTCCCCACTTCACTGTTTTCCCTTTGTCTTTTATTTTTTTTCTGTCTCCCTCTTTTGCCCTTCGGCAAGTCGAGGGTGTGCATGCTTTGCAGGACGCAGCGTTGATGTGGGTCCTCAGCGTGTGCCATCATGTTGACACCAAACAAAGTCGATGGTGATTGTAAGTTGTGCTGAAAGCGAAAGGTTTGATTGGGGATATCTCTGAATTTCGCAGCATCATTATGTGGAAAGAGAAATTTCAATCCAAAATTCTACGGCTACCAAAAGAGTGGCTTAGACTTGTGCTTTCAAACAGTTGCTGTTACCAGTGTTTTGCTCCAGAATGGAGTTGTAGGTAGCAAACCAAGTGCAGTGTTAATTCTTTTCACCAACAAAGGAGGTCCTGCGGATCTGGAAGTGTGACATGTGTATGTATCAGCAATTTACAAAGATCCATTTGATCCTGACAATCGCCTTTCTCTGCTTTTCTAGGGTAGTTCTCGCACCACTGACGAGACAGCGGTCCTACGGCAATGTTCCTCAACCTCATGCCATACTGTATTATCAACAGAGAGCGACTAAAGGAGGTCTTCTAATTGCTGAGGCCACGGGAGTGTCCGACACTGCTCAAGGGTGCGTCTACTAGACCATCAGGCTATGGATGCTTGAAATCTGTGTGGTCATGTTAGATTTCATTTCCACAGTTTGGCGGGATGTCTAAATAAGATATGTTTTCTGTATGCATACAAGGTACAAAGACACTCCTGGCATTTGGACCAATGAGCAAGTCGAAGCATGGAAGCCAATCATAGATGGGGTTCATCAGAAAGGAGGGATATTTTTCTGTCAGATTTGGCACGTAGGGAGAGTCTCTAATTCCAGTATGTTTACAACCCCTCGAAGCTAAGTGGTAGTGTAGTCAACTTGCAAGAAAATAGGATTCGGATTTATCCATGAAGACTTCATGACAACATTAGTTATGTTTGTCATAAACCAAGATATTTGTGTGCTCATACTATTTCTAATACAGTTTTTGTAAAAAAAAGTGCCATTATACCAACAAACATTAAATGCTCTGATGCAGGTTTTCAGCCTAATGGGCAGGCTCCAATTTCAAGCACTGATAAGCCACTAAAACCTCAAGTGAGAGCCAATGGTGTAGATGTGGTTACTTTCACACCTCCTAGACGTTTAGAGACTGATGAAATTCCTTTGGTCATCAATGATTTCAGGGTAGCTGCTAGAAATGCAATCGAAGCTGGTAAGCTCCCTTTTGCACTCTAAATGTTCAGATTAGCCTACAAAGAACGAACAAATGTTTATTTACTTTAGTCCAAATTATTTATCGATCAGTAGAAAATTAGCACACACAGGTTCTTATCGAATATCTGTTAAATGTTGAGCAACTACTAAGTAGTTTACTGCAATCCTAGTTCTGACTCCTGAATAATATTAAACTGTATGTAGGGTTTGATGGTGTTGAAATCCATGGAGCTCACGGTTACTTGATTGATCAGTTTCTAAAGGATCAGGTCAATGATCGCACAGACAAATATGGTGGCAGTTTAGGGAATCGTTGCCGATTTGCACTAGAAGTAGTTCAAGCTGTAGTTGATGAAATTGGTGCTGACAAGGTCGGGATAAGGCTGTCACCTTTTGCCGGTTATTCTGATGCACCGGACTCAAACCCTGAAGCTCTAGGCCTGTATATGGCAAATGCACTGGATAAATTTGGAATTCTATATTGCCACATGGTGGAGCCGCGGATGGTAAAACTTGGTGAAAAATTTGAAACCCCATACAGTCTTCGTCCAATGAGGGATGCTTTCAAGGGAACATTTATAGTTGCTGGGGGCTACAATAGGGAGGATGGAAATGACGCAATCTCCACTGGGTATGCTGATTTGATTGCATTCGGGCGCTTGTTTTTGTCTAATCCTGACTTGCCTCGAAGGTTGGAAATAGATGCTCCCCTTAACAAGTACAACAGAGACACATTTTACATCCCTGATCCAGTTGTTGGGTATACTGACTACCCATTTCTTTCATCAGATGTGTAAATGCCCATTTTCAGCAAAGTCCTGTTTAGATTGAGTAGCTAGTTACTGTACCAGTAATATCAGAGGAATAAATCATTGGTCTGGATGCCTCATTTTCATGTATATGGACAAAGCAATATGATAATTGAATTGTGCCTCAAATCTTATAGTAGTAAAGAGATTGAGATGAAGATCCATCAGTTATGAAGTCTGCCTTAAAAAGCCAGCCTGGTTTACCAGCAACTACCATGATCCTGTTGTAGTCACATGGGGCTTGCATGTTTCCTCCTTTTGCTTCCACATGTGTGCCAATAGTTACTGCCAAAGTCAATAAAAGGTACTGTACTGTATCTTAGTGAAATGTTATGGCAAAGTTCTTTCAGCTGTCTTTCAAATTTCACCAGTCATTAAGCTCATCAGAAAAGTAATTGCTTAAGCATGTATTGAAATGATTATCCATCTATGAAGTATAATTACACCTTGTTCTTACTAAAAGGATCAGGCTTATGGATCAAGGGAACCTTATCTCTTAGATTTAATCGTGGGTATCACTACCTAGAGCAGATGCTCCTCCAGTCTCAAAAGGTTATTATTTTAGACATCAACAGGGTTCTAACATGCATATTTGACACTAATCCGTGCTATGTGATATTTTTGTACATTGGCATGTACAGAGGCGCCTTTGACAACTAATTTATCTATAATGTTTTTAAAATCTAATAGAGTTGTGATACTGTGAAAGAAAATTTTCAAACAAATCTGCACATATCATTTGTGTATGACCAGTCTAAATATACAGTGGTTTTGATAGTCAAATATTACGAGTTTGATCGCATATATTTCAAAACATCACTTATGTTAAATTGAGGGAATAGTAAAAAGGTAGCATTATTAGTCCAAATGAAAATAAAAGCTATGTACTGGCTCATGCTTGTTGCATTCCAACTTTAGCATCTTGGAAGTGCTAGAGTTTCCTGTGCATAAGATAACTTCTCAAAAAGTGTACGGTAGATGCACTAAAGCACACCATTAACTTGGATTTTATTTGCTGGTAATCACTAATAGCTTTCAAAAAGAACCTTTATGTTATTCCTTATAATTTGTACTCCCTCCGTCCTGAAATACATGGTATCCAAGCAATTTTTAAGACCAAATAAAGAGTTTGGTAAATGACTAAGGGCATGTTTGGATCTTTCGCTCAGCCTTGCCTTGCCTTACCGGGTAAGGACACTCGTTTGGTACAACCGTACAACACAGAATCCTAGCTTTACCGAGCAATCTCGTCTGTTGCGGCAAGGTTTTCCTTGCCAGCGCAGAAGAGCCGAATCGATTCTCCTGCACAAGCAAGATCACGTAAAATCTTCCTTTATAAAAAAGCTAGTATAAAAAAGCTAGTTACGATAAATTACTTATATAAAATGAGAAAAATACCTTTGGTGATGGATGCGACAACTAGGCTAAAACCTTCAAAACAGCTCAGAAGTAAACCTTCGCTCAAAGCAACAGAGGGGCAACGGCCTGTTCGGCAGGACTGAAAAATAAGCTAAAATACTGTTTCGGCTGATTGGTACGAGGAAAAAATACTGTTCCGGCTGAAAACACTGTTCATATTGGTGCGAGGGAAAAATACAGTGTTTTTCTGAGAGCGCTGGGCAGCCCAGCCGAACGCGGGCAGCCAGCCGAACGCGTCGAACAGTCCACGGACAGGAAATGGGCAAAAGTGAAACGCGGCACCATGGAATCACCGTATTTATAAGCGCAAGCCAGCGACTGTTCAAACCAACCGAATCACCAATTTGGCTATGTTCGCTGGTCTTATGAGCCGTATTTTTTCAACGAGCGAACAATGTTTTTTCCTCATAATAAATCAGCCAACTGTACTTTTCAGTCTGACTTATCAGCGAAGCAAACAGGGCCGAAGGTGTTTTGCCTCTTGTATTCTTTTCACCAGGTTGCTTAGAGTGAGAATATCAAAGGCTCGCGTCTGACGAGGATATCTCAGGGAGCGTGTACCTGTTGACAAAACATATTAGTAATAGTAATTCAGTTTTTTTCATCCAGTTTCATTTGTGTTAATATATTCGTTAGTATCTTTTGTTCTATTGTTTCGGGATCAGGATCCCTCCAGAGGGTCCCGAGGGTATCCAACTGTCCGAACAACTAAAGCTTTTTCCTTTTTTGCAAATTATAGTACAGACGCAGACACTAATCACCCTTATAAACGCGTGCACACATCCTACCCCTATAAGTACATCCGAAAAGCAGAGATTGAGTTATCAGATCTCGAGGTTGACGAAATCACTACAGGCGTTTCGTTGTTGATGGGCACGCTGCCTACCACTGAAAGAACAATGACGTTAAATCCTAAAATAAATACAAAAAATATGAACACCGACGTCAAGTCAAAAATTGAATCCTATAGGATAAGTTCCATCACAAGAAATCCAACTAGCTGAGCTACGCTCGGTTCGCAACTAAAGTTGTTGACTCTAAGGTTTCATAGGAATTCCCAGGATTTGCTGAATGATTTATATGATTTCATTGCTGTGACTCGCTGCTGGGACGACTTCCAATATATACTTGAACATAATTGGTTCAGAATATAATATCTAAAGCAATATTAAAGGGCTTATCAAAGGAGTGGTCCTGGTAAACTGCAATCATGGTCCACATGGAACCATATAGTTTTTCTTTAGTTTGATAGTTTGGTCAATTAAGATTTTGTTTCTGTTGTGCGTGCACAAATTTATTATATGTACGCCTGCTGAAAGCTTCTTATTAGCAAGAAAAAGGAGTGGTCCTAATTCCTAAAGCATGTTATTGCTTTATTCTTTTAGTACTTACCTATTTGGGAATGTGCAAATGATAAGGTTCTGGCTCTTGAGTGAACTAATGCATTCTCCTCAATTAAACAAAATTGTAGTGCCAAGCAGCAAATTGAAACCTGCTGCAGGTAGTTTGGTTGTTCAAGTCGGTCATGCCAAAAGAACAGGTTGTGCCTCTGACAGCTCCGTTTGATACTCTTTTGGTTTGTGTTGGAGTTTACATAGAAATCAGAGGTCCAGAAGCCAAGTTTACAAACAGTTTTTTTTTATTACAAATGTGGTGTATGTAGTGGCACCTCAACAGCTAAGAAGTGTGCACCTTTTCTACTTTGTGCTATTTAGAAATAAGTTTAGAGCACACATCTGACCAATATTGTTTTCTGTAATTTGAATCAGATGGCAGGCATCAAGAATATGAGCTTAGAAGAAAGGTAGGTGCAGATTTTCAATTTTTATTAGTCTGACCTTTCAAAATAGAACAAATTCTTAACAATGTAAAGTGAAAATGTCTTTACATGGGATATATTCCTCACTAAATATTCAGTATGATCATCGACAACTTGATTGTTTAGTTTGGGGCAGTACAGGTGACATGAATTTATTTATTCATTTAGAAAATAACTTTATGCGCTCTGAACCAGTTAGAAAATAACCTATACACTTTTGCTAGCAAGCTACTATAGCTACAGAAACTGTGACTCCCGAGGCAGTTGGGAATCAACATGAAACAAGACCTAACTTGGTGTCTGAAATTTCAAGGACAGAATGGTTTCCCAGTGGTTTTGGCGGCTTCCCTACAAGCAAGGTTTCATGTGTCAGTGTCAGACTTTGTTGCCGTTATCAAAACAATATTTTTTAGTTCAGGTACTCAATGAAAAATGTCTGGTGTATTTCTTTTGCCCCTTTCTGGAAAAAAACATTTTTTTATGCAACAAGGTCCAAGGGTGTTTCGTAGTAATAAGGACTTGATCTAGAGAAAACTAATGAAGACTGCAAGAAACAGAGGGCCATAAGTATTTACTGGGTATGATCTCTATACAAGGGTGACCAATCTTATGAGCCTTTTATCCTTAGCTACAGAAGATATGAGACTGTGGAGTGTGGCAGGGGCCCTACGTGTCTCATACCTGACTGCCCAGCCAAGAGAAGAAGGTTAATAGAGTTGCTGGTCGTGGTAGTTTTCTCTCTTTAGCGCAGGCCTCTCTAGCACAGGCACTAAAGTAATTTTAAAGTTTGGTGATATGTGTGGTGTGGGTGTGTTGTAAGGGTTTCAGATAAAAGATACACATCTCCCCTTCATGCTCAAGAAAAATGATCTATACAAGGGTGACAGTTCAGATCCTGTATGTAGGCCTTTACAGAGTGGAAGGACTGGCCTACCAGTTATTCCTTGTCCTTACGAGTCAGGAGCGACAATAAAATGCTCACTTCCTTGGTGGTCCAAGTCGCCATTTGCCTCAAGTGCAAGAGGGAGATCAAATTGGTCACAGCAGTCTCTGAAGCTAGTCAAAAGTAGTGGGAGGTTGTGTGCACAAAACTAGTAGAAAAGAAAAAGGCTTGAAGATCGAATGGCTCGTGGTAAGGTTCAGATGAGGAGGATAGAAAACCCGGTGCACCGGCAGGTCACCTTCTGCAAGCGGCGAATGGGCCTGCTGAAGAAAGCTAAGGAGTTATCTGTTCTATGTGATGCTAATATCGGTGTCATCGTGATCTCCCCTCATGGCAAGATTTATGACTTAGCCACCAATGGGTCTGTATTTCTTTCATGTTTATTGATGCAAACGTTACTATGCACAGTGATCATTGTTCATTTCTTTAAATTTTTTTTGATGTTAGGAACATGCAAGGTTTGATCGAGAGGTACAGGAGAACCTATTCAGAAATGCATGGTGAAAGTAGCAACCACAACAAAACTCAGGTCAGGAACTGACAGTATGCATTAAGTGATGTGGCTCCGCAGTTTAGAACATTTAACAGAAAAAAGATTAGGAGCAAACTTTTGCTTAGTGCACCTGCCCTTGGCATTTGTTTATCCGTGATGCTAACAGGACTTCACAAGCAGTAACAATCATTCTGTACGCTGATATTCTCTTGTTTTTGCAGATAATAAAACAAGAGGTGTTAGCGTTAACACATGAAATTGATTTGCTTCAAAAGGGATTCAGGTAAAGTAACTGTGTTTCATTTATACTGTAAAAAAACATAACCAACTCTGCATAGTGACTTATTTTCTAGACTAGAGAAAAATTTATTATCTTGCATGCTGCATGCTTTTGCAAACAATAGTGTGTATGGCATGTCCCCAGACCCCGCACAGTGCGGGATGCTCTCAGCACTGGGTACGCCCTTTAGTGTGTATGGCATGCAGCATTAGGAAAAGAACTGAAAGTGTTAATAACAGCACAAAGAAGGTTGGATAAGAGTAACACAAGTTGCATGACATCTCTTCATTAATGTAGCCAGGAGAGCTACTGTAAATTCAGAAGAATTTGTGAGTAGCTAAAGATGTTCCGTCCATTACCTTCCTATTTCTTTTATTTTCTAAACTCATACAAAACCCACACCGCTATACAGCTGCATAAACTTTGGAGAGGATGCAGCTTCATAGTAATATTTATGTTCCAACAACTTACCAGTATGAGCTGATGGGTCATGTTGAACTACCAAGAATCCACAAATCACAAAAAAGTGCCAGACTATTCCTGTGTTTGGTAAACAATTATAGTATTGATTGCAGGACTCATGACAGATCTAAGCACATCCATGCAGGTACATGCATGGAGAGAATGATATAAACCACATGAATCTTGACGAGCTCCAAACCCTTGAAAATAATCTTGAAATGTGGGTAAATAACATTCGCTCCCAGAAGGTAAGGTTCATAGGCTTCTTGATAAACACAGATGAAATCTTTTCCAAAAAGAAAAATAGTATTTTGATGTACTGCTCTCATATGTTGAACAGATGCAGATCATCTCTAGGGAGATTGAGATGCTCAGGAACAAGGTTGGTTCAGTATTTGTCGCTCTGTTCCTGCAACAAACTCAAGTTTAGCAATTTCCGTCACCAATGGTTCTTTGCGTTTCTGTTTTGCAGGAAGCCATGCTGCAGGCCGTCAATGGCGTGCTTCAGGAAAGGGTACTGCAAATCTGGATGTCCTTTCTTTTAATATATATAAAGATTAAAGCACACTCTCTCTGAAAGATCGCATTAGGATCTACCGATCTAGGAATTGACAATAGGCCTACCTGGCTGCCCCTTTATCTGTACAAAGGCCAGAGTGCCAGACATTGTTATGAGCCATAGGTCATTAGGGATGAACACTGCCAAGAAGATAGCCGAACGGAAGTGGCTTGGATGCAAACTAGACTTTTAAGAGACTTGGGATTAATTCTTCCTAGTTGCTTGATTCTTGATTGAGATACTGCCTTCCTTTATAAAGACATGATTACTTGACCCCTAGGTAATATCCAACCAAATTCTAGCAAACCATATCTAGAAGATAACAATCCTAAACTATCATAATTGATATAATCTCTCTTATAATCTTTATTTCTTGGTGTGAAGGATAGATGCGCTGGTCCTCTGGCCAACCATAACAGACATACGGTCGGGTACAGCACATCGCTGACTTAATTTTGTGGATGCAGATAATTGAGCAGAATGGGATTATAAATTTCAGCAACACGGCGATGACACCGCAAGCACCGTTCCAGCTAACCATGGAGAGAAACTACTATTTGTAGGCAAAGCTGCCATCCTATGGATTTACCTTCAGTTCCAAGACTGTATGGTGTTTCAATTTTGTTCCAAGTCAAACTTCTTGACCAAGTTTGTAGAAAAATATTCTAAAATCTACAATATGAAATAAATGCACTATTGAGACATATTTAATGGTGGATTTAATTAACTAATTTGATGTTGTAGCTATTGGTGCATTTTTGTACAAATTTGGTCAAAATTCGAAAAGTTTGACTTGGGACAAAACTAAACACAACGATATAGTAACTCATAAGCTATGTTTCCAGTTCAACTAGGCTACCATGCGAGGACATCATAATCAGATCCTGACTGCCACTCCATCTTGGGAAAAATTAGTATTTGTGTCTATGCAAGCTCTGCATGTGTAAATAAACTACTTTTTAAGATTGAATTATCTCTCTGTTCAATATGGTAGAGCTTTGTGAATATAATGATGAAATTTGGCAGTCTGAGTTCTGGCTCAGATTCATTTCGAGTTTCTCACCACCACATTTTTGCAACTATATATGTGTTTCAAAACAAACGAAGGCAGAGAAACATATGTAGCAGATATCATTCTACTGATTCTTGAAAGACAGACATTGTTGTGCCTCATGCTGAACAGCATCTACTCTTCTGCTGCTCTAGTTGAATTGGCTGCCCTTTCATCTGAATTACATTGGAGGGCTTCCTCTCCAGGGCCTCCTGACTCCCTGCTTTACTGCAGATAAGACAAGGAATTTTCCAGCTCAGGATAATCCCTTTGAGTGAAACCAGAAAACCGCTTTGACATACCTTTTCTTAATTGCAGCAGACATTGCCAAGAACGCCTCCTCGACATTGATTGAGTCTTTAGCACTCGTTTCGAGGAACGGGATGCCTATCTCTTCAGCATAAGCCTGCACTTATTTCTGTTGCCAATTTAGCTCAAGAAAGTTTACAAAGGTCAACCATTGTTTGCTAAACTACTACAGTATTAATGAGTTTACAGGCTACTTGGAAGTTTTGACCTGTGCTACTGAAGTCTTGACAGTCCTGCTCTCAGCCAGATCACATTTGTTGCCAACAAGAAGCTTGCATACGCTGTCATTTGCATATCGGTCAATCTCACTAAGCCACTGCTTCACATTGTTGAAACTCTCCATGTCTGTGATGTCATAAACGATCTGGGGACATTTGGGCAACAAAGATGTGTTCATTGAAATGCAGGTCTAAAACTTTAGGAAATTTATTTGAAGGTTGAGTAATTTGTTTACAATTATCCCGTGAGCTCCTCGGTAGTAGCTGCTTGTAATGGTCCTGAACCGCTCCTGCCCTGCTGTGTCCCACTGTTGAAACATGCAGCATCAGTCATCAGGTGCAACTAACATCTGACCAAATTGCATATTACAGTTGCTGCTTTGAATAAAAAAAATCCCAAATAAAAAGAAAATCAGAAGCCAAGACGAATCAGCAGTGACATTTTCAGTCTTAAGCTTTTCTTTCATGCCAGGAATTAGCCGATACATGTTGTTCAATAGAGACTCAGAGAGTTAAATCTCAACCCTTTTATCATCATTAATTGGCACAAGAACAAGAAATTGTATCTTTTCACGTTGACCTAAATGATTTTAGGCATTTTTTTACATCATGGGCCGTTATGTCCCTTACCACCATGGCATTGTGTGTTCTCAACCAAATTGAATTGGCTCCGGGAAAACGAACTGTAGACTGGATTGTGTCCAGCTTTTTCTATGTGACTTCCGTGTACCAAACATTGACAACAAGTAAGAGCATCTCCAGAAGTGGAAAACATGGAGTTTTTAGGAGGAATATTTAGGGAAATCTTGGAGATGCTCTAACGTGTTCCATTGCTCCCAAACATTGTCACAGGTGGTACTTATAAAAGCGTTGAGGAATCCGCTTACAATCTGCAGCTTTATGGTCTTGCCCTCCATCTCGATCGTGCGGATTTTCTGCACAAGCAGAACCAGAAAAATGGGATAGTCAGTAGATCAAAGAACACCCCAAATGCGCTGAAGTTCAGGTGGGAGAAAAAACACCAAGAATGCATGCAACATTCCAAGAGGAACAAACTCACAAAGTCAACACCAATCGTGCTGATGTAGCTGTCCACATAGGAGTCGTCCTAGATGAACACAAAGGGAAGAGAATAAGGGGTGAGTGACCACAGAACCGTATGATCTACGGAGTACTAGTCTGCAGCAAATGGTGGGGCATCAGTCGGCACTGCCTGACTCACAGCGAAACGGAGGAGGAAGCAGGACTTGCCCACCGAGGAATCGCCGATCAAGAGAAGCTTGAACAGGTAATCGCTGTCGAAGGACAAGCAAACAGGACCAAAATTTTGGTACACTGAAGAAAGCGAAAATAAGAGAGGAAAGAAGAAAGGGGGACAAACTTACAATTCGTTGCTCATTGCTCTTCCAACCTTCGATTCCAAGAACAATGCGGAGGAGAGAAGAGGACTAGAGGAGTGAAGAATGGAGATGCTTCTGCGAGGGGAAGGTGAGGACTCGTGAGAGAAGATGCAAAACCTCCGGGAAGTCGCCTCTCTCACGCACCTCGAGAAACCGCAGGTGTATAAACTAGCAACCGATCCGGTGATGCATTTGTTTTTATCGAACTCCGCAGCGTCGTGACGTCGGACTGCTCCCTTCTCTCTCAAGTTTTTTTTATGAGATGACAGGGATTCACGGGCGCGCCGCACCGGCCGCTCGCGGCACGTGCACACGCCCCTGGCCTGCCAGAGACTATCACGATCTTGTTGCATGGTGTAGCTTTCTGCTCCCCAAAGTACTAGTACGAACAACGTTGCTTTGGGTTTTTTTTTATCTCCAACGACAACACCAAAATACAAGATCTATTTATTATTTGGACAGGTAAAAGGTTCGATACATGTTCAGTATCTTCTCCAACAACAAGACCCAAAAGAGAATGCTTTCTATAAATGAGTTTCTAAGAGAGAGGATGTCCATATTTAGATTGCGCCTCTCAGACAACCCAAAATAGGTCTCCCATATAGGTACTCTGTTGAAAGCTAATTTTAGGTCTCTTGCTATCCATTTTAGATTTGGGTGCTCATATGGGTTACTTATTGGAGACGGTTTTAGCTGGGAAAGAAATGCAGTGTCATGTGAGGAACACAAATGCAGCAGCCAAAGTATATGTACAAACCACGTCTGATACATTGTACCAGCACATATGTAAGATCATATAAAACATACAGTTAAGTTGTGGACGTCTGCTTTCTACTAGCTACTGCTACTAATTGAGTACTGCTGGAATAAGTAAGCTAGTATCTTCTTATGGTCGCTCGACTGGAATCCAGTGTTAGGGTCAATCAGATATGGCACCTGCAACACCATGGTTATTCGTGAGTTAGAAGTTACCCTTGCTTCGCCCTTTTTCTGTTGGAGAGGTAAAGTTATCAAGAATAGATGCAGTTAAACAGGTACATATGCACAGGTAACTAGAAAAAATCTGATACAGGTAGATAATGTTCCCCGTAAAGAAAATAAAAGGAAGAGAAAATTGCCTTGCTAAGTTAGATAATGCACCGGTAACTAGAGAAAATCTGATACCAAAGACAATTTGCTGGTATAACCAAATAATAGCCACGCTGATATACCTAAGAAAGCATATCTATAATAATAGAGGTAGACAGACAACATTTCTGAGTATCAGCCATTCAGATCCTATCATGAAAATGGTCAGTTGCTACTTCTCATGCTGCGCCATATGCCTACCATAATTACCTGCTTAGAGCCCGACTTCCTTAGAAGCAAATCCGTCTTTGATGATCCCTCTCCAACGTTCTGGAGAACATAAGGAAGCTCTAATTCACAGAGAGCCTCTCGAACTATCCTGGCATACTGAATCCATAACGTTCGAAGGGAGAGGGCACCACCATCAGAGACAGAAAATACAACTAATTTGTAACATGACAACAATGAGAGCAGCGATTTCTCACAGAATTATTCTCATATGAGAAGAGCTCCAACTTCTCTGCAGGTATAGCACCAGCTTTGTTCCACAGTGTCATTCCTCTTCCAGCTCTAAGAAGAGTGGGCACCCATCCTGTGAAAATTGTACTGCAGAGATGGAGAGGGAAGGCTTGAGAATCGCACACATTGAAAAGAAATTTGTCCAGACCCGTTATAGAAAGTATTTTCATTTTACTCATCCCCGTAAGGCCTGTATCATACTTCCTTGGAAAATAATTTCAACATCATCAAGTATGAAGCATATCACCACAGTTACATAAGGTAGGTAACATAAGCTTCTCAAAACAAGCAAAGCTGGATACCTCTCAAGAAGTCCAGGAGAAGGGCTCTTTCCTTGTCCATAATTCCTGAACAGGTACTTCACAATATCTCCTGCACATCCAAGAGCATATTAGCATCCAAATTTATTAGGCCATTAGAGTAGTGAACTTGCACTGCACTATACAGAGTTACAGACAAGAACTAAATCTTTTTTTAGGACTAGAAAAGAACTAAGGGCCTGTTTGGATCCATTAGCACTAAAAATTAGCTAGCTAATAGCTACTAGTTTTTAGCTAGCTAATTTTTAGCAGGAGGCTGTTTGGATCCACCTGCTAATAGGTGGTTGGATAGTGAGTGGAAGATGTATATGAACTATTAGCACCTATTAGCAACTTCAAACCTACTAATGGAACTAATAGTTAGCAGCCCTCTAGCTAATAATTAGCAGGTCTGTTTGGATCCACTAGTACTAATTTTAGCAGCTAATTTTTAGTGCTAATGGATCCAAACAGAAGGGCGGGCCTGGTGCAAGCGGTAGAGTCTTACCGTCTGTGACCGGAAGGTCCTGGGTTCGAGTCGCGGTCTCCTCGCATTGCACAGGCGAGGGTAATGCTTGTCACTGACACCCTTCCCCAGACCCCGCACAGAGCGGGAGCTCTCTGCACTGGGTACGCCCTTTTTTAATGGATCCAAACAGACCCTAAATCTAAATCTTATCTTATAGCTATTAAACACACTGTCTTTCTGACCGCAGACCAAAAAGTTTCAAATACTCCGAGTCATGGAATTGTAGCGGATAGCAAACTAGAACAGCATGAACAAAGTGTGCTTGGATTCCCTTCAAACCAAAAGAACTAATCGGAACTTACCACTTTCATACATTGAGATACCAGTACTAGTGTCAACAAGCAGTGGAAACCTGCGTACAGATACTACAGTTCAGTGACAGTAAGCAGTGTATCAGAAGATTTATGTTTATGACTCTGTGAAGTAATGCCAACAATGTTTAATGAACAAACACAGAATTCAGAAACTTTCCTAGATATATTCACTTGAAGCATTACCACATCTATTAGTAAAGGGCAGACCCAGTGCCGGAGGCTCCCACATGAGTGGGGTCTGGGGAAGGGATAAACCGAGACAAGCCTTTCCCCCGCAAAATCTGCGGAGAGGCTGCTTCGAACCCACGACCTGGTGACTCAGTGAGACAGCTCTCACCACTCCACCAGGCCTACCCTTCCATTACCACATCTATTAGTAAATAGTAATATTTAGTAGGCGAAGACATACTGCTCCTTCCCTCCAATTTTCTTGACCACATCTCTGTGCCTTAGTGACCCTTTTGGACAAGGATAAACCTGAAACATTAGGAACAAAAATTGGTGCCATTGAGAAGACAGCATCAGAATGTTACATCAATAGCCAGCACTAACTACAATGCAAGTAGAGCCGGTGCAGTTAAAATGGTTGCATGGTTTTCCTAAGTACTAGTAATTCACAGTATCATGCTTCAATTGCAGAACTGAAGGAGCATTGTTAGACAAGGTTCAGCACCTCTGCAGAAAGATCAAGCTCAGTCATGGCCTCCCGAACTCTCCTACAGAAGGGACATGCCTCTTTGGAACAATAACAAGGGATTCAATCAGTACATTGCAGAAACCAGAAGTACCAGCCTCCAACCATAGGTAACAGAATTTATCGTTTTACCAAACTCATACAATTGAAGAGTTGGAGTGCCTATTGCCAAATCTATGTTCTCCCCGCTGCTAGTAGCCACTTTTGATCCCCATGGCAGTCTAGCTAAACTTGAAATTGAAGATGTCGTGACCTGGGGAACAAAAAGTAGGCACATATGCACAAGACATGGAGGGCAACCAAAAAGAAAGATTACGCTATAAAGGAACAGCCAGCATGATCAGAAAGACTTGCATTGTTAGTAGATGACCCAGAGTACTTATCAAAAAAATGACCCAGAGTAAAAATGAAATGAAAACTAATGAATACGATGTCTGAAGCAGCAAATAATGGGACTGGTCAGAGGTTCCCTTTTGTGAATTTATTACGCAGAGTGTACTTAATCTAGCCATCTGATTCAGCATCCAAATTCTAATCCAAGTTAGTATTATTAGTTCAGGGTTCGTAATTGCTCAGCCATGAGATTTACCTCAACAACGTCGTTCCGTTGCTGCGAAGGATCTCCTCCCTGCACACAAACTCACACAAAGCAACACCAGTTTTAGCAATCTCCCAGACTAACCAAGCCCGAAGTTGGGGCAACCGACAAATCCGACGTTAACTAGTTACCCCGAGGAGCTTGAGGAGCGGGCACAGGAACGACAACACGCTGCCGCTAGTCGTCGAGGTGGTTTCAGTTTCGGCCGCGCCCGCGCTGGGACTGGGAGGGCGCGCTCCGGCGAGGGTTCGGGCGCCGCGGCGACTGGGAAGGTAAGCTCGACCCGGAGCCGGAGCGCGCTGCAGCGCTGCGGGAGGGAGGTGGAGATGGCGGTGGCCGGCGGGGTGTGCGAGCGGCAGCATGGCAGCCAGCGCCGGTTAGGGCGGCGCCCGGGAGCTGGGAGTCGGCGTGCGTGAGCGTGACCACTGACACCGGCGTGTGGTGGCCGTCGCGGGAGGCGGACGGGCGGTTCAGGCGTTCAGCTGCCGGTCTGGGATCGAATGGCCTCTGTGGGCTGGGCCACTAAGTCGTCGTGGCCCTCACGGACCAGCGCGATGGGCTTTTTGGTTGCTTAGATTAGAATCGGCGGCCCAGGATACCCGACCGCGGGCGAGCGACGCTGCGAGGCTGCAGCTGATCAGAGTTCAGACTTGAGAGAAGCGTGTTTGGTGACGTAATGGCACTGTACCGAGCATACGATCCTAAACACTGGGTTTGTCTGTTGCATGCATAACCCCCTTATTTAGACCACCGCACAGGCCCATATGGAGGCTAGCACTGTCCTCGAAGCAAGATCAGTCTACATCTTACTATTCAACTAAATCATGCGTATCCGGCTATGCACCATTCATACTGCACCCTTTCTAGCAACCTATACAAGAAATCAATCACACACATAACACTATACGACTTCCTGTCCAGGCAAACTAAAATAATACTCCCTCTATCCGGGAAAGGAAGCAATTCTAGCTTCCCTATGTGAACTCAACAGGGTTGGACGATTACGCATGTACCCCCTAATGGTGTTGACAGTGAAAAAGCCTGCAGCCTGCCATGAGGAGTGCAGACGGATGGGGAGAGAGCAACATGTGGATAGAATCACGCCAACAAGTGAGCAGCTCATTTCTTTTACAGCAGGTACAAATTCTCTGCAGCGGCATTCCATCTGGCGCCATTTCAGCTGGCGCCATTTTTAAGTGGCTGAAAGCAAAGATTACAAATTTTTAGATGCCGCCATTTACTCCTTCCTTGGCTTATAAAAGGCTGGCGATGACTGCCTCACCATCTTTCTTCACCTCTTTCCTTGACCCCATGGCTTTAGATTTGAACAATCCACCACCTGACGAGGGAGAGACCTTACCAGACCTCAACGAGAAGCAGCCTGAAGATGAGGATGATCTATTCCAGATCCATGATGCACATCAAGATGATCTTATTGGAGTTGAGATTACTGGAGGGCAAAACTAAATAATTAGCCCAGGTACTTGTCTCTTCACTTATCTAAGTTATTGGAGTACTCCAACCTCACAAAACTCACCTGCTCTTGATGAACACCACCTACCAGATGGGGGAGGAGAAGCCATACCAAACCTTAATATGCAACCTGCACATGATGAAGAGCCTTTCCATGTTTTTGTTGGAGATGATGACATAGCTACAGGGGACGAAGGTATTAGTGCAGATGAAAATGGCAACTTTGATGTTTATGGTGATCTTTTCGATCTCAACTTACATGCTTCCTATCAACCAGATCTAGACCATTGTAAGTGTTTTTGTCTGTATGTATTTTCTTCCATAGTTTGCCTACATGCTTTTTTATTAGTGCTTAATAGAAAATACAATGGCTTACAAGTTAAGATCCTTTCTGAGCCATTGGGTACATACATGCATGCTCAGGAATAAATTCAATGTAGAGTTACTTAATCGAAGGACTATATGACATTGTATTGAAAGCTATAGCACATAATCAGATTGGACTAGACATAATTTATCTCATATTCAAGGTTTATTTGTTGATGAATTAGTGGGTCAATGTGGTACCATGTCCAATAAAGACTTTAGGATGAAGAATTACGTACAGAAAACCTCCAACCAGTGCCCACACTGCATGTAGTACCATGTCCAGTAGAGAAGTTCCTGCAAAATATACAAATAATGTACATTTAGCTATTAGTTGTTAATAAATTTCACATTCCACAAATGTAGATTACAATGATTAAAAACAAGTTAAACTAAGCCATCAAACAATAAATGGATGTACATTTGTTTAGTTTCGGATGAACACAATTAGCACCTATATTTTTTTGTAGTGAATGATGACTACATCCCAACCATGGAGGAAATGCATGAGTATGGCGTCTATGCCAATGAGGTGGACATCCAGGAAGAGTTATCTGACTCTAGTGACAAAGATTATGAACCAGCAAATGGGAATTTTAGGACAAGGTCAAAGGATCTTACTATAGCTCAAAGGCAACAGATATATGAAGCACTGCTGGAGAAAAGCAACCGAGAAAAACTAAAGAGAAACACTACAACTGAGATTGCTGAATTATTTCATGTCAATCGACATGCAGTGTGGCGTATTGGCGACAAGCATAGCAATGTCCTGCTAATGGAGTGTCGGTTGATGTTAGTTCAAGAAAGCCCAAGAATTGTGGCCGCAAAAAGGTTGAAATCGACACCTCACAAGTAGAGACCATTCCATTGCACAGAAGGTGTACCATAAGGTCTCTAGCTCAAGCTCTAGGTATGAAAAAAACCATAGTACATCAGATGTTCAAAGATGGGTTCCTAAGACGGCACTCCAAATCATTGAAGCCATTTTTAAAGGAGGAAAACAAAAAAGAAAGGTTGAGGTGGTGTGTTTCAATGTTAGAGCAGCATACATTGCAAACTCAGCCAAAGTTCAAGGAAATGAAGAACATCATACACCAAGATGAGAAGTGGTTCAATGGAACAAGAAAAGATGTGACCTACTGAAAGGTCCTAATGGCTAGAGGGGGGTGAATAGCCTATTAAAATTTTCTACAACAACACTTAACAAACCGATTAGACAAATATGAGGCAAAGCGAGTGTTGTGCTAGCCTACTAAAAATACAAGCCACCTACCACAAGTCTAGTTTCTATAGTCTCTATCCACACAATGGCTATGTCATTACACTAAATTAGTGTGCTCTCAAAGGCTAACTAAAGATCCACACTAACCAAATTAACAAGCTCTCACAACTAACTACACTAAAGAGCTTGATAACTAGTTTACGGTAATGTAAAGATAGAGAGCAAGATAGTTATACCGCCGTGTCGAGAAATGAACCAATCAATCACAAGAATGAATACCAATGAAGACCAATCACCTCGGAATCAAATGTTGACACAATGATTTTTTACCGAGGTTCACTTGCTTGCTGGCAAGGTAGTCCTCGTTGTGGCGATTCACTCACTTGGAGGCTCATGCGCTAATTGGCATCACACGCCAAACCCTCAATAGGGTGCCACGCAACCAACACAAGATGAGGATCACACAAGCCACGAGCAATTTACTAGAGTACCTTTTGGCTCTCCGCCGGGGAAAGATCAAGAACCCCTCACAATCACCACGATCGGAGCTGGAGACAATCACCAACCTCCGCTCGATGATCCTCACCGCTCCAAGCCGTCTAGGTGGCGGCAACCACCAAGAGTAACAAGCGAATCCCGCAGCGAAACACGAACACCAAGTACCTCTAGATGCAAACACTTAAGCAATGCACTTGGATTCACTCTCAATCTCACAAAATGATGAATCAATGATGAAGATGAGCGGGAGGGCTTTGGCTAAGCTCACAAGGTTGCTATGTCAATGCAAATGGCCAAGAGAGTGAGCTAGAGCTGGCCAAACGGTATTTATAGACACCCCCAAATAATAGAGCCGTTGGCTCAATTATTGGGCTAACTACGCGTCGACCGGACACACAGATCGTGTGCACCGGACACACCGGTCGTGTATACCGGACGCATCCAGTATGGCGACCGAACGCGTCCGATCGCTACCTGACCACCACATGTCCAATTTTAAATGAAGTAGCCGTTGCTACCATATTCAATCTATGACCGGACGCGCTCTTTAGAAATGACCAGACGCGTAGCCGTAGCGTCCGGTCGAGTCCAGAGAGCTCCCAGGGCCGAACGGACGTAGGAGACGCAGCGTCCGGTCGAGTCCAGAGAGTTCCCAGGGCCGACCGGATGCAGGAGACGTAGTGTCCGATCGAGTCCAGAGAGTTCCCAGAGCCGCTCTGGGCTAACCAGACGCGTCTAGTCACTTCGGACCGGACGCTCCTAACGTCCGATCAACTGTTATACTGAACATCAACTTTGCTGGTTTACATCGGACGCGTCCGGTGTGGCGACCGGACGCATCGGTCGCTCTTTGTAATATAGTACCGAGCCGTATTACTTAGATCGGACGCGTCTGGTAACTCTGTGACCAGCGCGACTAACTCCTTTTCAACTCTATCTTCTTCACCCTTGCTCAAATGTGCCAACCACCAAGTGTATCACCTTATGCACATGTGTTAGCATATTTTCACAAATGTTTTCAAGGGTGTTAGCACTCCACTAGATCCTAAATGCATATGCAATGAGTTAGAGCATCTAGTGGCACTTTGATAACTGCATTTCGATACGAGTTTCACCCCTCTTAATAGTACGGCTATCGATCCTAAATGTGATCACACTCACTAAGTGTCTTGATCACCAAAATGAAAAGCTCCTATCAATTTCACCTTTGGCTTGAGCTTTTTGTTTTTCCCTTTCTTCTTTTCCAAGTCCAAGCACTTGATCATCACCATGGCAACACCATCATCATGTCATGATCTTCATTTGCTTTACCACTTGGAGTAATGCCACATATCTCATAATCACTTTGATAAATTAGGTTAGCACTTAGGGTTTCATCAATTCACCAAAACCAAACTAGAGCTTTCAATCTCCTTCTTTTTAGTAATTGATGACAACCCTTACACAAATATATGAATTGAAATTCAATTAAATCCATGTTGCTTGCCCAATCACATTTACTATGTGTAAAAAGATATGGACGAGTTTCATGAACCCCAAATGGTAGCAATTGCTCCCCCTATATATGTGATAAGAGTTTGTATTGTAGCTTGCACATATGCTTAGATAGAAAATATAGGAGATAATGTCTACCAAATGATGCTAAGGTATAAAAGATGGACCTTTGAAGCGTGATACCAATCGGAGTGCACCAATATACCATCCTTAGCACCATGGTTAGCTTGATACCACTTGGAAGTAAAATCATTAGATAACCTATGCATGCTAGTTTTTCATTTCATCATTCAAACCTACAACTAGCAT